TTCTTTGTTGGTCAGCAAGTGCTATTGTACAATTCCATATTGGGTCTCATGGGTGGTAAGTTGCGTTCAAAGTGGATTGGACCTTTTATTGTTACTAATGTTTATCCTTATGGTGCAGTTGAAATTAAAAGTGAATCCACAGAAAGGAGCTTCAAGGTTAATGGCCATCGACTGAAACCATTCCTCAACAATCCTTCTCTAGTGGATGTAGTTGTGGAGGAGATATCCCTGATTGATCCCACTTACCTTCCACCATGACTTAGGGAGTTCTCTTTTTCCTTCTCTTTACTTTTATTGCACTTTTCCAATTGGTTATTTGATTGCTTGACTTGATGTTATGCTACATTGGGACAATTTGTAGTTTAAGTGTGGGGGAGACTGTTCTTTGTTTAGGATTTTTAGTTTTCTTTGTATTTCAGGTTCGTGTTTTGTGTACAGTTTGCATGTTTCTTTTGGATCTCTGGGTTTTGTTTAGGTTTCAGGCACTTTCTTCACTCTTGGGATAGGAGTTGCTTTATGCTTTTTCGATTGAAATCCCTGTTTTTCTCTGCTTGTCAAGTTGGTTACGATGTTTGAGAGGTTGAATTGAAGGCAACAATCTTACCCTTTGTGAGGAATTGAGCCACTACCTGTTCTTTCTTGAGTGTTATGCCTCTTGATTGCTTGTGCAGTAGCCTTGGCTTGACTCTGATTGATCCTTCTTGATTCACATGCATGTTTGGAGATGATTAAGGCATTTTTGTTCTGATTAGCCTCTAGCCAAATGAGTCTACCTTGAATTAATTCCTTTGATAGCCGCTTTGAGCATATGTTTCCCTTTATTTCTTTTGAAGCTCATTAAAAGCCTTAAGTGAAAAACTATGATTACCTTAACCTTAGGAATTTTTGGAGCTTTGGAATTGTTTTGGGAATAAGTTATTGAATAAGTGTGGGGGTGCATTTTGTATTTCATTGGATGATGTACTTGGCTAGTTGGTTATCTTTGCTGTATGCAGTTTTTGTGTTTTCCTTTCAATGTATTTCATGTAGTTTAAATATATATATATATATATATATATATATATATATATATATATATATATATATAAAAGAGAGAAAAAAAAGAAAAAAAAAGGAAAGTTGTGGTTGAGGTAAAGGCAGTAGTGGAGGTTTGATATTAGAGGTTTTTTGGGCATGCATCTTGTGCTTATTTTTGACTTATTCCCCATTGCTCCTCTAATTCCTCTGGTTCACAACTACTTATCCCATATGATATCCTCTACCTTGTCCCTACCCCATTCCAACCTGAAAAGACCTTTTGATCTTTTTGTGCATGTGCGTTGGGTGTTGAGTTTAGAGGCTTGTCAAGTCTATCTGTTGTTTGCTTTTCTTGAGTATTTTGAGAGTATACAGTAGCCTAGACACATGAGAGATACAATGCATCTTGTGAGGTTTTGTCACTTTGATTCACCTTTTGACCTGATTGACCTCTTGCCAGGTTTTGAAATGCTTGGATGATTTCCATGAGTATCTGCTTTCTCTAACTCTTTGTGTGTTGGATGTTGTCTACTCCTTTCTTTTCCCAGGATTCATTAAGGATTGTGTAAATTTGTTTGTGTTTTGTGTGTCTTCTTGTTCTTGCTCCTTTTTGTTGTGGCACTCTCTTCGATGTCTTTGGAATTGCTCCTTGCTTTGCTTCTTGATTTTGTCCGGGAGTGCAAAAGGCTAAGTGTGGGGGAATTTGATGAGCCATTATTTTCCGCATTTTCTTATCTTTATGTACTTATCTTAATTAGTGTTTTGGGCTTAACTTTCTATTATTAGTGAATTTTTACTAATTGGGCTTCATCGGGCCAATAATTTAGATTTTAATTAATTTGAATCTATTTGATCTAATTTTTTGTTCTTGCTCCTTTTTGTTGTGTCACTCTCTTCGATGTCTTTGGAATTGCTCCTTGCTTTGCTTCTTGATTTTTCCCGGGAGTGCAAAAGGCTAAGTGTGGGGGAATTTGATGAGCCATTATTTTCCGCATTTTCTTATCTTTATGTACTTATCTTAATTAGTGTTTTGGGCTTAACTTTCTATTATTAGTGAATTTTTGTCATATTACAGTTTAAAACAATTTTGGGCTTGAAAAATTGGGTCAAATGTCATATTTTATTCAATATGAGTACCAACATTAGTTCACTGTTTTATTTATCATTTTTTCTACAGATCTCCAAAAATCATGATTCTAAAAGCATTATAAATTGGACACATTCAGCCTTCCATACGGTCCAAAATCATTCAATTCGAAGCTAAATTGGATTTTACATAAATTATCCAAAACGGGTCAAGCACACCAGGCCGGCCCAATGGACATGCTTCAGTAATTTAAGTCTCCTAAATTCATTAGACCGCCGAAAATAGTAGAAATAGTGGCGTTTTAAAGCTACCTGAAAAGGCTTTTAAAGGAGACCAAAATCACTTAATTTGGATAAGTATTGCAAATCCTGCACGTGTTTGAAGTTCACGGACCTGACTGAAACCAACTTGTGATGTGTTTTGTGGATCAGTTAGGCCCAAACCTAGATTAAGATTAGGGTTAGGGTTATTTATATAAAAGAGACACATCACACAAGGACTACGCAACCACCACACTTCCACCTTTCATCTTTTGCAATTTATATTCAAGTTTGTTTACTCTTCTGTCATTATTTTTAAATTCTTGTTTCGATTTTAATTATGTTTCTTCTATTGCGTTTTCAACTTTTCATGGATAGCTAAATCTTTGTATTGATTTTCTCAGATGAATGCAAGTAGATCTTTGAGGTTTTGTTTATTCAATTTTCATTTCGTTTGTTCTCTTAACTCTTCATCTTCTAATCTCAGTGTTGAATTATAATCTGTTTATGCTTAATAAACCAAAACTAATATCATAGTTTGCTTAATTCTGTGTTAGATATGAGATTATGTGATGTATGCAATGCTTAATTGTATAAGGATAATTTGGAGTTAATCTTCGCTTAGTTGGTTAATTTCATGTTGGAATAAGGGTTAAGGAAAATTTGGGATTAATCTTCGCTTAGTTGGTTAATTTCATATTGGAACAAGGGTTAAAGCTAATTTGAGATTAATCTTCGCTTAGTTGATTAATTTCGAATTAGAATATAATTTGGGATTTATCTTTGCTTAGTTGGTAAATTCGAATTAATTTCGTAATCTAGGATAAGTGACACTGCATTAGAATCAGGAAATCAATTGCATTTTAATCTGTTTTTAATCCGCATTTTTATCTTCTTTTGTTATGTTTCATCTAATATTTTAATTTTGAAAAAACTTCTTTTTTTGTTACTGTTCTAATTTTAAAAATTGATAAGCTTTGATAGAAATTTGTGGTCTTTGGGAGACGACCTAGGAAAGCTTCCTAGTACTACATTTATCTGTTTTAATTATTTGACCGAGTACGACATCGATCAATAAGTTTAATTGTAAGGTCTAATCTAATAGTCATTGGTAATTTAGCTAAAAATATATATTGCAATATATATGACATCTAAATAAGTCATTAATTTATTTGAAAATAAATTTTTAAACTTATATCATTATAAGGTCATTAAATATAATAGTTTAAAAAAATAAATATATAGTTTTAATACTTTATAACAAATTTAATGTAGTATAAAATAATATAATAATAAATAATTATTTAAATATTGAAATTTATTATGTCTGAAATTTATTTTAATGATATCTAATGTCAATATTTTTTGTTTTCAACTAAATAAGCTTAATAAAGTAATTATTTAATTTATTTTATTAAATTTTTTATCTATACGGGTTTGATACTGGGTTATAGACCATTGTCAATGTTCTGACTATTTTTGTTCTTACTTACACATCTAGAATGAAAATTACAATCATGGGAAAACTAAAATAAAATAAAGGAAAAACATAACATAAAATTTTGCAACAAAAAGCTTTGTCGAAGCAAAAACATAACAAATTTTGGTTACTACTTTGTGTGTGTGTGTGTGTGTGTGAAGTTTTGGTTACTATCCAAAGTTCAAAAAAATATCTATATGTACAGGGTTTCAGAAAAATGTAAAACCTATACGGTTACTCAGACTCGGAAAAGAGAGGTAGAGAGAAAGTAAACTAAAAAATAGCTTTTCTAACTGATCATGAGTAGACAGCAAATAACATTATTTACGTACCAAAGGTCGACATAGAAAAAGCCGTATTTATTTTTTATTTCTTTCAAAGATACGAGCTTAAAGTGTAATGCTTTTAGCAGTTACGTATATATGAATCATAAAAAAAATAGACAACTAAAAATAGTGAGAACCAATAGTAGTTGCTTTAATTTGAGAAATGATTATGATAAAGGCTTAAGCTTTGGTTAGTGATCAACTTAGTGGTGGGACATCTCCAGAAAAAATTAGAACTAGATCTTTACAGTAAAATGATTTCGAAGTCATCCCCTATAAGATTTCCTTTTTATTTATATCAATTCATAACATATAGGTGTCAATATTTCCCATGTGAAAATCTTGAATAATTCAGAATATAATGAGCCATATATAATTTAAATTTATGTTTGTATATTACACAATTGTGCATGCAGTTTGTGGTCAAGTCCACCCTACGGTTTTCAATTGCGTTAGATGTCTGCTATGCCCAAAGCCGCCAAACAAACTCAAGAATTAGAAAATGGTACATATCAAAGCAACTTCAGTACAATACAATACAGTACAATAAATTTACATTTTATAATTTAGAAGAGACATAAAACCTGCTTAATTCACTCTCTTCTTACATCCACTTCTAGTCTACTAGCACTGGATAATTATTTATTTTAATAATTTGATACCCTTCAAAATAAAGTGAAATAAAATTTAGAGATAAGTTTCATAATTCATCTCTAAATATTTCACTAGATATTTGAGTACCTAACTCAGAGAAAGAGAGACGAAGACTCATTTAACATCAAACATCAAATACATTTAAGATGGTTTGGCTCAAGGGCTCACGACATTTTCTATCTACGAACCACTACGCATCGAAGAGGGGTCTTCATTTCCATGGAAAGCCTGAGGGATTCCGAAAGATCCACATGTTGCGCCGGGAGCCAAGTGAAGTGGCGGAGAAGTTCCGCGAGCCAGAGATGGGCAGTGGCCAAGCCTAAGGCCCTGCCCGGACACACCCTACGTCCAGCTCCGAACGGGGCGAGCCTCAAGTCGGATCCCATGATGGAAACGTCTTCTTTGAGGAATCGCTCGGGCTTGAAAGCCCATGGGTCTTCCCAGATGGACGGGTCATGCGATATTGCCCACATGTTTACCATGGCTGTTGTGCCAACTGGCACAAGGACTTTATCCACGTGGACGTCGTGGACTGCTAGGCGGGCCCATGATAGTAGTGGGCCCGGTGGGTGCATCCTGAGAACTTCTTTCACTATGGCCTGTAGGTAAGGCAGATTCGCAATATCCGAGTCTCGCACGTGACTCCTTCGGCCGATGCACGTGTTGATTTCTTCGCGGGCTTTCTTTTGTACGTCTTGGTGTAAAACCATCCTGGCCATGACCCATTCTAGGAGTATTGCAACTGTGTCTGTTCCTCGAAAGACCATTTCCTGCTCAAAATAATAAGATAATGGCTTATGGTAGTCCCTGTCTGAATCTTATAAAGAACGAACCAGAACATGCAATCACTGGGTTACTTATTTAAAAATATTGTCAACACAACACATATAACCTTCATCGCAGGCTTTTATTTCTCTAAAATATGTTCAATATTTAAAAATAAGGGTTTGTAGATGTTGAAACTAAAGTCTCAGTTAGAATATTTCTAGTGGCATGGCGCGCACTATATAAATATTCTTTATCATAAATGTTTCAGATTGTTTGAACAAAGCAAGATCGTCATCTTATAAACTATTTAACCTAGGAGATTTTCTCTTCTGTGTAGCTAATTGTCGTACAAGAAATTTCTGCATGTTAATTATAAAAGGACTTGAGATAATATGTAAAATTATGCATTAATGTTTTTGTTTAGTTGTTTTGAGGGAAATCTTAAGTATATGTAACGTGTGGAAAAGGATGTATGCTTTTAAAATTGTTTTACTTTATTTATATTATTATTATCCATGGATCAAGGTCCACTGAGTGTGGGGTTTGGTTTGAGGATGGGAGAAGAAAAATAGGTAGAGTACACTTACCCACAGAATAGCCACCATATCTGAATCACCCAACCTTTCTTCTTTGGGTAAGGATAACAAAGTGCTAAGAAAATCATTCTTCCCAACAAAACTCCCATCTCGTTTTCGCTCCTCCACAATTTGCCCCACCGCACTAACAACCTTAGCCGCCAACGTGTGGCACCTTCTCTTCACCCCATGAAAGTCCAAAAACTTGAGAGGAAAATAATCTTCCAAGTTAAACTTAGCAATCAACTCATACCCTTCCTTAACCATATCACCCAACTCCTGCCCCTTATCATTACTTCCAAACACACTCTCCAAAATATTGCACAGAGAACCTTCCTGAAGCACGCCCCTAATGTCCACCACCCCTTTCTCCTCCATCTCCTTCCAGGCGCTCTTCACCATGACATCAGCCACGCGCTGCCGGAGACTCTCCAAGCCCTGAATCCTCCTGGGAGAGAACATGTGAAACGCCGCGATCCTACGTAGGTGCCGCCAGTAGGTGCCAGAAGGAGCGAAACCAATCGCTCGCTCAAACATGAGAGCGCGTGCGGATTCTTTTATCGGACGATCCGAGAACGAGGAACCGAATAAAATTTGTCTCGCGGTCTCGGGATGGCTGCTTATAACAACAGGAGTGGGTCCCAGGCTGAGCGCCATTAACCTCTTGGCGTTTAGCGACGCAGCTAAAGCAGCGAGTTTGGCGTGCGCGAGAGAGCCCATTAGAGGCAGAGTGCCCAGAATGGGCCAGCCCATAGGCCCAGTAAGCTTTGCGTTTGGTTTTTCGTTGTCGTGTTGACGGTGGTGGTAGTTTCTCCATGCAAAGCCTCCAGGGACAAGCCAGTAGTTAAGGGAAATAGCGAAGAGGGTGACAAAGAGAGTGGCGAGTGGGGAAGAAGAGAGGGTGTTTTGGAATTGGAACTTTGTTGTTGCTGTTGTTGGTGCAAGGGCAAGGACAAGGGCAAGGGCAAGGACAAGGGCAAGAGAAACTAGTGAGGAGGTTAGGAAGGAGAAAAATGCTGTCGTGGTTTTCATGTTTGGTCAAAAGAGGAAGAAAAATGGAGAAGATCGATGAATAGGGAATTGTTATGTTTCCAGAGATGGACGTGTGTCATGGGATATAGAGCATGTGGGGATCAGTTGAATATATAAGCGTGGAAAGTGGATAAGTTAAAGACCCATGGTTAAGGTAACCATGGTTAAGAACTAACACGCCCAGGTGCTATCTGGTTATGACGTGTAAATATTCTTAGGAACTGCACTATAACATCTCACTTTATGTCAGAATCACACTCCATTTTTTTTCCATCTCTTTCTTTATAAATAAACAAACACTTACACTCCTGCATTTAAAATAAAAAATAAAAAATTAAATACCAAATGTCGCCCTCAGTTGTTATAAATTATTTCAAGGTATACCAATTTTTCAATTTACTTAAAATATTTTATTTTTATTTTAATTCTGAAATATTTTTGAGTGATTTAAGGGACTCAATGTACACGTATCAAAGAAATTTGATTGTGCAGACTTTAAAATAAATTCCATCCATCCGATTGGTTCAATTCGTTATCCAATCAAAGTAATCATGTTTTTTAATAAATATGATTGAATCAGTTTGTATATACATAACAATGTTAAAAAGTTTAAGACTATATATTTTTATTGACTAACAGAATAAAAGTGTTACACTGATAGTGTACAAAAACCAAAATCCTATTACTAAGTGTGTGTTTTTATTACTGAATCAGCAAGCGGAGTTTAATATATTAATTAAACATCATGTATATATTTATAATATTGAATTAATATATTATAAGGATTTTATTTTGATGAAATGTAATTACAAAATTCATGTATTCATTATCATAGTTTTAACGATCACACCACTCGGAATAAAATAAAGAATGAGAATATTCAGATGCATTATCCTTATTACTAGGTAAATTGCTTTAATAAACTCGTGTTTCAAATGCTTTATAGATCATATTTATATTCAATTTCTGTACGATAATAAAGCATAGGGACCTGACTCAAGCTTCGTGTCTATCCATATACGGCCTTTTAATGGCTAATGTCACCTCCACAATATTTGGCCAAATTCTTGGAGGCTTTATGAATTGGATAAAACTTGAGATTTTTTTCTTGTTTTGGAAATTTTAATATTCAATTTTGAATTATAATCCACAAAATTATTATTTTGGAAGTAAAATATTTGTTCAATTCCTTCAACTGAAATCCAACTAGGACCCATCCTCCGGGAAAATACTTGATGTTGGATCAGTTCATCCTTAACTCTTTTTGTCACGTGTTTTTACATTTTTGTTTATTTTCTATTTTTCAAAACTAAAATTTGCTCTTGAAATAAATAAAATATTATTTGATAAGAGTAGTTTTAAACTTATTTTACTTTTTCACTAGTGTTTCTTATTTGAATTTTTAAAGTAAAAAATAACTAGGACATTGATTTTGCGTCACACTTAATATTTGAGTAAAATGCACCGAAAATAAAATATGATAATAAAATGTGCCAGAGATAAGATAAGTGATAAATAATAATAATAATAATAATAATAATAATAATAATAATAATAATAATAATAATAAATAATTATTATTATTATTATTATTATTGAATAACAAAATAACCTAATTGTAATAAAATTTATCTAACCCCAATCGAAAAATAGGTTTTTATTTTTTAATATTAATTTTGTTTCCATTTCTTCTACCTCTTCATCTATTTTAGAATTTATCAAATTATTAATTATTTATCACATATTTTATTTTATTTTTCCCATTTTTCTTCTTTTTACTTTAAAAAGCATTTCATCGTAAAAGGTGTTTTAAAAGGTGTTTGAAATATACATAAGTGAGAGTTTTGTTGTGATTGACAAGACATATATGTTGTCATCCACCTTTGGATGTCAATCATAAAAGAAAAAAGACTATCAAGAATAAACGTGCATCTGATCTTGTATGATTTGTTTGGTAAATAGGAAATAAATAAAGTGAAAGATAAAATAATTTTTTTATAAAGAATAGTGGAAAAAAAAGTTGCTTAATCATAAAAATATGAATAGAAGAAGTTATTTTACTTATTATTAATAATTTTATTTATTATTAGTAATTTATTATATATTATTCATTATTATTTACTTACTTTTTTTATTATTATTATTATTTACTATTAGCTAAATATTCATCCTCAATTCTATCCTCTTTTAATGCTTATTTATATATTATAAAAGTGTCTATCAATATTTTTAGTTACACCACACTTTATCTTTTCCTTCCCAAGGAAAAGACAAAAATAAAAAATACTGCAAATTTTGAAGATCTATTTTTCAGGAAAATGTATTCCCTCCCTCAGTTCTCTTTTAGTATACAAATTGACCAGGAACATGATTTTAGCACCATCCAAAACACTCATGTTTGGCGTTTACTCAACAGAAATCATACTAAAATAATAAAAAACAAAGTTGCTAGATTGAGAAGTCATCTTTTATGGAAATGGTTAGCAATCCAAATTTAATAAAATATTATCATTTTGTCAATTTAAGATATTATTTCAATTACACTATATATAAAATAAATGATGATTATTTATAAATAATATATCATTAAGAATGTCAGATCTTTATAAATAATTGTTAGTTGATAAGTATAATTATAACTTTTATTAAATTGCTGTGTCAAATAAACTTATGACAATAGTTATGATATTAGTTATTGTTGTATCATTAATTTTTTTAATATATAATCTATGGTTCTATAACTATTACATGTATAGTAGAACAATACATAGATTTTTATCATATTTAGTAGATAAACAATCATTAATATATATAATAAACAATATTTAATATTATTTTTGCTAGAATCTTACAAATTTATTATAAATATCTATAAAATATAAGAATAATTAGTTAATTATGCTCGTATTTTATTAAAAAGTCATCATCATATACATAATATTATTTCTAGTGGCATGTACATAATTAATAACATCATCATAATCAATTTCAATAATTATAGTTTATGTGAATTAACGAGTGTGATCATCAAGATTAAATTATTTATTCTCATGAGTAAAATCTTGTTTTATCCTAATATCTTATCTTTCGAAATCAACTAACGACATTCCTAATTCATCGATCTTTACACCATTCTTATTATCAACCCACTTACACTTAAAAACAAACACTAAAAACTTAGTGTAACTAACCTCCCAAATCTTTTCAATTACATCATAATATGATATTGATCCAACAACGGGGTTTTGATCCTTAGAAGAAGTAGAGAATTGCATAGACTCTACTCAAGAGTCACACCACTATTTTGAACAACATTTTTGTCATCCAAAACCTTTCACTAGTGCAGAAATGACATTTTACGTCACCCAATTGTCGTCGCATGTCAAAATATTCGACGAAAATAAAACGCGGTGCCAATTTTGTAAATAAGAGGTAAAACTTTTACGTCGCATATTGTAGGAGGTGACGTCAGTGACGAATCTTGACCATTGATCTTGGAGGGGCCAAATAATATATTATTAATAAATAATAAATAAATATAAAAGGAAGAAAGAAGATGAAGGGTGAAAGGATAAAATTGTAGATATATACTTAAATATATTAAATGATCATTAAGTTTGAAGAAGACAAAATCATAAATTATATGAAAGTTACAAAACTGAATAGGGCTGAGAGAATAAAATTGTAAATATACAAGTAAATATATTAAATGTTCATTAAGTTTGGGGGGGGTCAAAATCATAAATTACACGGGAGTTACAAAACTTTGGGGCGGTCATGACCCCCCTCAACTCCCAAGAAGATCCGTCACTGGGTGACGTAAAAAACCTCTTTTACGTCGCACCTGATACAGCGCGACATAAAAAGTGATACTTTTTACGTCACGTGGGGGTGCGCGACGTAAAAAGTATCACTTTACGTCACGTGACATAAAAAACCATATTTTACGTCACGTGCTAGGGTGTGCGACGTAAAAAGTGTTTTTTATTCTCTTCCTGACTCACTCCCGCATCTCGCGCCGCAAGGGTTTTTGAGAACGACGATGAGAACAACGATAACAACTACCTTTCCACACCATTTTCGATCATTTTGGTAGTGAAGAACATCAACATTGTGTCTCATTTTACGAATTTGACATTTCTCCCCGATTGGATTCGAGTTTGAAATTATTTTCGTGTTTACTCAAGGTTAGTGTTTTATGTCTCCTGATATATGTTCAAATTGAATCCGTGATTGTTTTTGGGATCTCAATCACGTCATTGTATGAATGTCTCCACTTGATTGTTATTGGAATGTCATTATTTTGTTTGAGTGCATTTTCGGTTTACACACTCCATTTACGTGCTTTGTTGTTTGTATATTAATTTATTTTTAAATATAAATTTTGAATCTCTAGGAATGACGAAGCTTTATAACATAATATGAATCGAAGTTGGATGAATGCACGTCGTATTAGTGAAGGGTACGAAAAGGGAGTTGATGAATTTTTGAAATTTTCTGGTGAAAATGGAAAAGGTATTGAATAATATATGACTTTTTTTTTCATTTAGAATCGTGTATAGAACTAATGTTCTAAGTGGAAAACCTAGAACAAAGATTTTGCAGTTCATTTATCCTAAGGTTAGAAACTTATTATAATAAGTGAATACCATAATTATTGTTTGTATTTAAATTTTGAAAATAACATTATATTTTATTCATCATTTCAGTGTAATGGTTACTATGTTATGTATTGTATTGGATGAGAGTCATAGTTTGTGCGGGTATAACTGATTCTTGGGCGGAGGTAATTGCTTTCAACATTAGTTAAGTTTATTTAACTTTATGTGTGTTGCATGTTTACAAGAGTCAAATTAATGTTTCAGGTATTTCAAGATCCATCTCTATTGCCAGAATATGATATCACACAAATTAGAGAACAATGGGCAAGATTTTTCGTTCAACAATTCTAGTACTTAATTTTTTAGGTTATTGTTCATATTATATTGTGTGTATTATGT